GCAGACCCAAAGCTCTTGTTTCTCAGTGCCATTGCTGTGTAGATGATATACTCGCCATCACCACACACCACAACAAACCTAGAAATTACAGAAGCCAGGGAGGGAAGTACAGAAGCTCAATGACATGTACAATGACATTAACAAACTGATTCATATTTATGGTATAATTATTTCTGATCACAATGTTATTTTAGTTGACTGTTACAACTGAACCTGATATCTTTTAATACATTTCTTTGAATACAAAGCTAGATATAAATATTCTACCCAACAAATCCAAAAGAAAATTATGAAGATGGGGTTACTGCTGACAGTGTTACTGCAGTAGCACTCTCTTATAAACCAAAGAGACCAGGGACGGAAGGTGAGAGGGCTGCGGATGCATGGGGGAAGACTCCACTAACTCAGCTGGTATTTGTTGAGCACCAAGATGCCTACTACTTTGCTCATTACATTTATACCCACAGAAGGCCCTATCTTATTGCAAGACTAGCTTCATTTTAAAGCTGATCATTCAAATGAATAATACCTCATTCCAGTTTTCAATGCCTGTTAAATTTGTCAAAATAAACAGGATATTTTAGCACACATAGTGAGTAAAAATAGAATGTTGCAGTCAAAATTCTCTCAACAGGCATAAAGCAACCCTCTTTAAAAGTTCTAATTTAGAACACTGAATTGGCTACTATTGGACTGCCAAAGGTGAAATGCAAAACAGAGCAAAAAAATGTTTTATGATATTAAGGGAAAAATATATAATGCGTTAATCTTCATAAAAAGATTTTATGACAAATAATTATGAATGCCATTTACTGAACTATGCAGACTTGGTTTATATACCTTGTCTTCCTTAACACTCAGGACAGCATTATAGAGGGCCCAGATTTATTGTAAAACAATTTTTAAAGCTCCATAGGCTTAAATTCATCATGCTATTCAACTCTTCTGTCACAAGACATTTGGTGCTTTATAAATCTTAAGGGAGGAACAGAACTGATGGTTCAAATTGAGGAAAAAGATTTATTGCCAATCCCAAAACTTTTTCAAAAGATATATCTATACCTCAGAGCCAGCTTTTCTTCTTAAAGAACAGTGAGTCAGCAAATACTGAGAGCATACCTACTAATTCTCAGCATAAGACATGATCCTTGGCCTCAGAGGAGCACAAGGACACCAATCCAATACATCTGCATTATTAATAAACCCAAACTATTTAACTGTTCAAAACTGTGCAGTGGGACCAGGCCAGGAAGGTAAATATGCCTCACCTGGCATGCTACCTCGATCAGCTGGCATGGCTGCCTGCAGCTGAGCTGAGCACTGAGACACCAGAACAAAAGCTCAGTGAGGACCGCCCGCCATAGGGCAGGAGTGTACCTGTGGTGGATATGCAAACCCTACTCTAACATACACAGCAGCTCACTCACAAAGAGATTTTGGTGCCGGCTTACCGCCCGTTAGGATTGTGCTGAATAGTCTGAGGGTATATTTCACAACTGCCCATATCCTTTACTGCCAGTGGCAATCTTTCTCCATCTTTAATTTCAGCATCTCCCATTGCTTTTAGATTGGCCTGCTGGACTTCTGAATGCTTGGCCCAAATTATCTTTCCATTGGCATCCATGGACATGGCAGGTTCCTCCCGACCAAGCTGGAAGAATGACAAATAGCTCTTAGCAATGAAAAGAAAAATAAAACCACAACAAAATTAACATTTTCTATTTGCATCTAACAGAGGGCTCCTTTCTTCTGCTTCAAATCAAATCTCCAGTGCTTAATCTCTTGTGCTTAATGAAAAAAGTGCCAGTTTAACAAAGCTAACTGGTGATTTGGAAAATGACTGTACTAAAACACATGGGAAATTGCTTCCCCTACGTCCATCTATTCAGAGAGATAATATAAGTAGAGATTACCTTAACAATGATACTCCCTTCATCATAGCCCAAAGCGACATTGTTGGACCCTCTCAGACTGGCCACACACCACACCCTCTCCATTCCATAATTCAACGTGCTCTCAAGGCGGTATGTGCTTGAATGCCATATACGCACGGTTCCTAAAAGAAGAATGTGAATACTTCCTTTTAATTTGAACATCCAACGATGAACTGTGTCAGGTGAACCAGCCCCGCTAAAGTCTTTATATTTAAATAGAAAACACTTCTTGGCAGCTTAATTTTTTAAATCTATAGTCTGTAAGTGATCTTATAAAGCAACATAGATAAATTAGTAATAGAAAATGTATAAGAAACTAAAACTAAGAAATGTAATTTTAAGTGTGAACTAATGACAGGATTTCCTAGGTACAGTGCCTACTATGTGCTAGGTGCTTTATGCACGTGATTTCTTCTCTATAATCCTATAAGGTGGATATGTCTGAACCCATTTCATAATTTGCCGAAATGACACATCCATGAAGTGGCAGAACCTGAATTTGATCCCAGGTTTTAGATTCCAAAACATGGGCTAATTCAGTTTTTCTCTAGGCTTTTTCTGGGTGTCCTCTTATTTAAGCAATAGAATCAAAACACATTAGAAAGATGATGTCCCTTTACTCTTTTATAGCTGAAGTATTCTACTCGAATAAAAATATTAAAAATCCGTGGAAACCTCCAATTACAATGCAGGGCACTACCTGACTTAAATATCCATTTAGTAATTATAAGCATACATTTCCAACTTACCATCTTCTGAACCTGTGATGATGATTGGCAACTCAGGATGAAAACTGGCACAAGACACATTTTGGGCATGTCCCTCCAGTGTCTGTACACATGTTTTATTCTGTAATCAAGACACAGAAAACATTTTTATTAGTGAAAAACAAGTAACTCATCCCTAATTTTCCCAGTGCACACACACATTATAAATCATAATGGTTATGACAATCTAAATAGTATTCAATACAGACATTTTTAAATAGAATTATCTTGTATGTACATACTTCCTCTTATTATTTGATAATATAGGCAAATGTAAATATCACATTTAAAGATGAAAACACACACACACACCACCACCACTACCACCCCACCTAAAGATCTCGGGTTTGCATCTAAGTATTTTTTCCCCTAAATTCCTAAGGTAACGTCTAATATTTTTATTCTGTATTTAAATATGAATTTGAATAAGTTCTTGGGTAAAACTGGTCTTCTAGACCTCATTTTATTAA